ACACCAGAGAATGGGCCAGAGCACTCGCAGCCCAGATGAACCGACGAAAGTACCTCCAGCTACAGCTCTGACGCATCCTTCTTACGACTCAGCCCTGCCCTTCCCCCCAACCCCTCACCAAAGAAAGGCTCCTCGATCTATACCCACTCCCAGCATCGCTTCTACCGTCGGTGATGCAGCCAGCTCTCCCTCCGTTCCACAAAGCGTAACCTCAGAGACAAGCTTCCACACAACCTTCCAGAGCCCTCCTCCATTACCCAAAATTAACCTGGTGAATTCCAGCGTCTACTTCCCTTCTCCTCCCTCGGGCCAATCCTCGCCTTTCACGCCTCCTGCAGTACCGTTCAAGCATCGCCGTCATTCTTCACGCCTGTCACATACTCCATCCATGCCGTCCGTTAGGGAGAGTCTTCGAAACCGAGCCAACACCACTGCTATCTACGATGACAACGACGATTGTGAAAAGGACATCGAGACGAATCCTGATATTCCCATCTGGGCTCTCGGCTGGAACAGCGAAGCCACCGGCGTTGCCATCGTCCATTAACCACTCTTTTATCTTCCTTTATACTATCTTACCCCCTTACAATCGTTACCAGGCTAGTCGCCTCTTTTCCTACTTCTTTTTTCTTTCTTTCTTTTTACCTTACTATATTAACGAGATACGCTTGAAGCACTACCGGGAGCCTCATTCTTTATATCCCGCTTTCCTTTCCCACGGGCCTCATTTAACAGCCCTGATCTACTGTTACTGTCTAATTTCCTTGTACCATCATTCTTTGTTGTTCAGCATGGCGGGGTCGGTCGTGTCTGCTTATATTCTGGATGCCTTTCTTTCTTTTTCTTTTCTTTTTTTTTTGCGCATCGGTCTATCCGTTCATCTAGCAGAAGATGTAGGCGCGAGCTGTGAGGAACGTCGGCCCCAAAGGCGGAAAGAGAAACTCGATGTGAATACCTTTTTATAAGCCACTCGGTTAAAAACTCCAGTCCCATGGCGCTCGAGGCGGGCAGTGTCAGGCAGCCAGCATTAATTATATAGTTGCAAAGGTCAGAAGTCCCAAGGTGCTGGCCAATATAATGGAGGGCGTTGTGGGCAGTGACGTCGGCCTCCTTTACCTGCTTTTTGATAGTCATAATAAGAGCCGCCCCCGTTCCTCCCTCGTCAATATCTTTATCCCATTCCTCTTTTTCTGATGCACAGCATTTCCTCCTGTTCCTCCGTTATCTCCCTAGCGGAATAATAATCGATGGAGCCCGGTCACTCAAGTACCTACTATCGAGTTTACAATGAGACTCTCACCCGGGAGTATAACTCATCTGCTCTACCACTTTCCAGCCTGATCCCGGCAGAGCGTCAGCATTATAATAAAAGAGCGTACGAATGCGCTGAGGTCATAGCTAGATCCCAAGCGCTCCTCGCAGAGTTGAATGAAAAGAACGCCGCTCCAGGCAAGCCGACGACGGGCACTGCGTCGACCTTGTCGTCCCCGTCGGCTGCTACCACCGCCAGAGCACCCACCGAACAAGACCTGCGCAACCAGTTCCACTGGCATCAACAGGACTACAACCGTATGCATCAGAACTGGCGGGATCAAGACGCACGGCAGGACTGGAACAGATGGATGTATGGCCGGCCATGAATACGGTTCAGTGCCAGTTGGGGCTGCAAAATGATCTCTTCTCGTTATAGTTAATATTATGTCTGGGGCATCCTTTGACAAATTGTGTGGCAGGCCGCTGAGCTGGGGCAGTTACTGGTGCGAGGGAAAGGCAGTGTTTTTGTACTTGGGCTGCAGCTATAAGAATGTATCAGTTTGGTGACGTATTGCATGAAACTACCTATGAAGAGTAACTATAAGTAAATGGCCGTTGACAAACACTGCCCCTTCGTTAACTACTCTGTTCACAAACAACTATCGAGCATAGCCAGCGATTATCTATCATCGAATATACTCCATGTTCATAGATCCCAACTCCGTCTTGCCCAAATCGTTCCCGTCAAGGATCCCTGGTCCTCTGATCCAATCGTAGCTCGACAACAGACTGTCCCCTACCAGGAACAAGGGCCTTCGTAGCAGTGGGGAGAATCGATGCCTACCAATAAAGCCATAGAAGGCATCTCCGTCCATCCATCTCCCCTTAACTAGCGGTCCGGTCACTAAGCTGTCACTCCTGACCGTCTCTCTCTATATTATTCACCATGCCAATACTCCCGTATGCAAGGAGGCTGCTCCCTGGGATCTCGTAGGGAGAGACACATGCATGGACAAGGAAGGCCGCCGGCCCATACAACCCCAGGAGATATCTAATCCCACCGTCTGCACCCCCCCGGCACTCGTAACCGCCTGAGTGGCGCTCTTCAGCAGTAGCGAGAATCAAGCAAGCGATGCAGGTAGGAAAAGCAACGAAGAAGGT